TATAATATAATTTTTATAATTGCTAAAAGATAATTGCAAAATAAATTCATGTTAAAATATAAATTATGTAATATTTATAAGGTAAGTCATTTGTACATTATATACAGTAATCTTTTGAATTTAGATCTTTTAGAAATTTCAAAGATTTGATTTTCAAGAAAATTCACTTTGCAGATAATTTGTGAAAAAAGAAAAAAACAACATTCAAAATGCCACAAAACGAATACATTGAAAGACATCGTAAACTATATGGACGACGTTTAGATTATGAAGAACGGAAAAGAAAAAGAGAGGCTCGTGAACCTCATAAACGAGCAGAACGTGCTCGAACCTTACGTGGTATAAAAGCAAAGATTTTTAATAAAGAACGAAGAAATGAGAAGATTCAAATGAAAAAGAAAATTAAATCTCATATGGAGAAAAAAGTAAAGGAAAAATCAAATGATATATCAGAAGGAGCATTACCTGTATATCTATTAGACCGTGATGTTAAGAAAGACGCAAAAGTATTATCAAATATGATAAAACAAAAACGGAAAGAGAAAGTTGGAAAATGGGATGTACCAATACCTAAAATTAAAACACAGTCAGAATCTGAGGTTTTCAAAATAATGAGAAGTGGAAAATCTAAACGCAAATCTTGGAAAAGAATGGTAACAAAAGTGACATTTGTTGGTGAAAATTTTACTAGGAAACCACCAAAATTTGAAAGATTCATAAGACCAATGGCACTTCGTTTTAAAAAGGCACATGTAACTCATCCTGAATTAAAAGCTACATTTTATTTACCAATTATTGGAGTTAAAAAAAATCCAAGCTCACCAATGTATACAAATTTAGGTGTCATTACTAAAGGAACAATTATTGAAGTAAATATTTCAGAATTAGGTCTTGTAACACAATCAGGAAAAGTAATTTGGGGAAAATATGCTCAAGTTACAAATAATCCTGAGAATGATGGCTGTATTAATGCCATATTACTTATATAAGTTAATTTCTATTGAGCTATTGTATTATAATTAAATTCGTATACTGATAATGTATTTACAATAAAAATTAAACACAAATTGCGTTTGTTATTTTTTTATTTTTATGAAGAATTTTTAATCATTTTATAAGTTATATAAGCGGATACTTGATTTTTTACAAAAATTGAAAATTATGAAAAACAAATTTTTGTATTTTTTGCAGTTATACTAGTTTACCATGCAGATATTTGTGAAGACTCTTACAGGCAAGACTATTACTCTTGAAGTTGAGGCATCAGATACTATTGAAAATGTCAAGGCAAAAATTCAAGATAAGGAAGGTAATAACAAAACATATTGTATATTTTTTAAATAGTTTCTTAAACAAGATTACATTTAAATTTTAGGAATTCCACCTGATCAACAGAGATTAATTTTTGCTGGGAAACAATTAGAAGATGGCAGAACTTTATCAGATTATAATATTCAAAAAGAATCTACATTGCATTTAGTGTTACGTTTAAGAGGTGGTGCTAAAAAACGCAAGAAGAAGAATTATTCTACTCCAAAGAAAATCAAGCATAAGAAAAAGAAAGTTAAGCTTGCTGTACTCAAATTTTATAAGGTATGTAAATAATTCATTTCAGATCAATTTAATGCAACTGAAATCTAAATTATAGAGATTATAACATATTAAAGAAACTAAGAAATGAAATAAGTGTTTCTTAGATAAAGTATGGATGAAAATATAGGATGCATTGAGTATGAACAAATCTTACAACTTTTATTTTTCAGTTTTTGTATTTATATGTTTCAATGCTGTTGTATAGTATAAATTAAAAATTTTTAATTACATATTTATAGTTAGAACTAGACTTTTATAGTTTTGATATCATTTGGAAACAGTAGATTAATATGTTAGCTGTTGTAATAATGAAATTCACGTGATAGCTTTCAAGTTTTAATCTTTAATATAATCTTTATAAATACATTCCATGATTTATTTATATTTGAAGAGTCCACTGGAAAAAAAGGATGTCAAGTTTTAGCATCTCTTACAAAACAAAAATTTATTTTTCAATTTAATATTACAACCTTGTAATTTCTCATCAAAATATTAACATCATTTTATTTTACATTATTTTCAATTTTTACATATGATCTAAAATATTATATCTAACCTCATGTATAACAAATTAAATTATAAAAAATGAAAATTATTGCAACAACTTTGCAAGAAAGAGAAATGTTAGTAAAAAAATTTTTCTTAATTTTTTTTTGCTTTATATTCATTTTATTTTCTGTTTTGAAACTTTAGACACCAGACCATGTAATATTTTCGTTCTTAGAAATAAATATTATGTAATATATATTGAATGTGAAGCAATGAACTTCGAATAACTGACGAACGTTATCAACAAAATTCCCCTTGACATTTCTTATTTTTTTATTCTACATCCCAATTTCTTACAGCTACAAAACACAGAAAAAGTTTTTGGAATGTGACATGGACAATGATAAAGAATACACTACATACACTAAAGAATATAAAAACAACTTAAATTAAAATTTTTTTTAAATTAATATTCCCCCTTTTACTGTAGGTTCTTCATTTATGATATTCCATACTATAAATTCGATTTTCATCAAAGATAACTATCTCAATTGTGATGTGTTTTCAAGTTTATTATTGTATAGAGATTATATTATATGAATTTCTTAAATATTATGTTAAATAGGTGGATGAAAATGGAAAAATTCATCGACTAAGAAGAGAATGCCCCATGGAACACTGTGGTGCAGGAGTTTTTATGGCTGCAATGGAAGACCGTCATTATTGCGGCAAATGCAGTTATACTCTTGTATTTAATAAGCCAGAAGATAAATAATGTGAAAACGTATAATTTTACTTAATTAAATAAATGTGATTAACTAAATAAATTGTGAACATGAATAAAGTAATAATTTTCTAAAAATTATTTATTCTGTTTTTTACATTGTGCTAATATACAACTTTTATTCACACGCACAAACATATAAATATAAAAATTCATACTTATATTTATATGTATTTGAGTGTGTATAATATAAAGAATATATTAAAAATGTAACTTAGCTTAACTCTATACTCCAAAATTTTACATATTACATAAATATATAACAAAAGAAACTTTACATGTAACATACTGCGAACATTAAAAATAAAGACGAATAAATTCGAATTTTCTATCAATTATAAATAATTTGCATGTGCATTGTTGCGCATTTGAAGTTGTCAAGAATCATTATCATCACAGCGCACTTGTGTACCGAATTAAATTAGTGTCATATCCTTTTTATTAAGTACACTTAAAGTTTACTAGAATTATGACTTTTAATAACTTATCGCATTATAATACTCACATTACTTTTATCAGGATCTTTTTACATGTATTTTTTTTATATTTCTGAATGACTCTGTTGCTCTGTACGTGAATTAAAGCTTTTTAAATTTGGTTTTAAAACAGAAAACATTTTTTCTGTTGCAGTAGGATGAATACTCATTTGTAATTCTGTTAATGATTCCTCTGTCTTTAAAATTAAAAAAGAAGTAAGTTCATTAACATATTAAGTAATATAATAATTTTTTAAAATAACAAATATATTTTACTTGTCTAAGCAATTGTGCAGCAGTATGTAATACTCTTTGCCATTTTCTCATTTCTATATTATGCAAACTTTCTTGTTGTTGTAATAAGTGAATCCAATCTTCCTCAGTTTTTGGTGTATTTCTATAAGTGAAATGATTTTAAATATCAATATAATAGATTAAATATTAGATATACAATACATACTTTAATACATGTAAATCCATAATAGTATAGGCTGCAGCTTCTTCTAAACTCCATAATTTATAATATAATAAACCATTAATTACCATAAGACACAAGACAGCAATTAAAAGCATTGAACTAATTATCATATTAGAATCACCTCGAGCACCAGAAACTGTTTACAAAAATTTATATTGTGAGTTTTATGTTGTAAGAATTATTAATTTCTAAACTTATATATTATATTTTAATAGACTATTATACCATTGTTTCCATACCAGTATTATCATTCATATGTGGTAAATTTAAAGAGTTTTGTAGAGTGGAAGACGTATGATCTGAAGAATGAGTTTGCAAAGAAATACCCGGACCTGTAGCCCGACGTCTTCTTCTTGCTTTTCTCTTTATTCCTCCACTTCCAGTACTTTCTTCACATTCGATAGATAATGCTTTTATTAAGCTTGTAAAATATTCATCTAATCCAGCCCAACAATTTTTTTCAATAACACCTATTATTGTATAAAATACATAATTAATACTCATATACAAAAAAAAAGAAACAGAAAAAAATACTATACATTATAAATTCTTACTTTTTACAAAAGCCCATACATTCTTTTTGTACTTTATTTGCCCATAAATTGCGATATTTGTTTCATTCTCAGAAATACTGGTAATGCAATAATGAATTAATACGGAAAATGAATCTGCAAATGGAATTCCAGCATTTACACTTTCCACATCAATACTATATAAATGACCTGGTCTACTACATGGCAACATTATCTGAAAATGCATTATAAATTAAAATTAAATATAAATGAAACTGATATTTATTGAAGTATTAGCAAATTTAAAAGTAATCTAAATGTTACTTTTAAATATTATTATTAATAATTTAGAAATTGCATAAAACCTGAGTTTCGGAAATATCAGAAGTTCTTGGTCCAACAGCTTGAGTCAGGGCCATTGTAAATGATAAATTTCTAACTTTCTGGCCAGTTTGTTCGTTTTGAGTCCATGCTGATTGTACTAGGTCTAAATAAATGAAAATATTTTATAAGATAATGTTTTAAAGTAAAATGTAATATTAACAATAATTAAATTGTAAACATTTATTCTAATTATATTACTTTTGTAAGTTTTTTAATAATTGAAAATATAAATTATTATATCTCACCAGTAGTTTTACGAGCAGTTTGAAAATCTAAGAAGAATTTTGAATTTGTAAATAATAAAGTAAATAAATGATCAATATGAACAGGAAATGTAGCCTTGCCTACTTGACGACCTTCATGTGGTGAAGTACATACTACATTGCTTCGAATACCTAATTTTACTGCAATCATAATGAAAAAAATATTTATAGAATAAAATAAAAAGTATATTTTTTAAAATTTATTCATATAATTTAATTATTACTAATTTCATATAGATAACAATGAATTTATTGTACATAAAAAGTACAATTAAATGTTATTCAACATCATTTCTTTCTAGTAGTTTTAAATAACGATCAGCTAATAAAAATACAAAAAATTTTAAAGTATTACTTTTTAAATCTTCACTCGAAATGTACATTGTTAAAGTAATTATTAATATACAGGGTGTCCAATCTTAATTGACGTATGCAAATTATTTATGAATTACCTTAGTATATAAAAAAATGGCATAATTAGTTTCTCCGCAGATAGACATATAGAGGTCATATAAAAATTGGATTCAGAGTTTGTAATGAAATCATATCTTTTAATGCAATAGGTGATACAATCATATTTTGTATAAAAAGTTATCAAAGCAATATTAAACATATTTAAAAATTATTAATTTAGATAACATTTGAACTTGAAATTGCCATGAAATAATTATTCTCTTATTAATATTAATTGGATTTCTATGAATAAAATTAATAATAGTAAGAAGATAATAGTTTCTTAGGAATATTTAAATGAATATATTTTCTAAGTCAATCATTTTTTGATATACTTTTTGATATGTATTAATACCTTTTTATGGAAAATGTCAGATTGTGTCAGCTAGTACATCAAAAACATATGATTCTACTTAAGAAAAACAGACTTGACCTTCATATGATCTTATATGCATCTATAGAAAAACTAATTATACTACATTACATCTCCCCTGAAAGCATTCAATTTTTGTCTGAACTATTTTTTAATAACCAAATAGTTTATAAGTAATTCACATTTCTTAATTAAAATTGGACACTTGGTATGTAATATATGTTCTTGTACAATAAAAATGTCTCAAAAAGAAATTTATCAAAAAATATCATTATTAAAAACTTACATGCATGCTTTTCAGCTTCACTTTCTGTTGTGTCACTTAGGTCAGTTGCATCAATAATAGGATCTGGTCGAGGTAAATGATGAATTTCTGCTTTAGTTTCATTAACTGCATCCGACATTCCAGTCACTGTATGTTCTACATTACTACTTTCTACCTTTGATTTGTAGTACAAAATAAAAAAGTTAAATTAATATATAACAAAAAATATTGTTATTACAAGCAACTTACAAATTTTACATATATTTGAAACATTGTTATATTATAAATTACCTCAGAGAATGATTCTACTGATAATCTTGTTGATAGCTTCTCTTCATCAGCTGGTGGTAATGGTGGAACATAATCTTCATCATCCGATGTTAAACCCAATTCATCTCCGTAACAAGAATGTACAAGTTGCCACATTTCAGGTGCATTCATTGGCTAGAACATCAAACATGTGTGAACACCATAATATAGATACAAAATATTTTATAAGTTAAATAAATCGTAAAAACAGTATAAATTGAATGAACTGACTTGAATAAAAAAGGAGTTTAATTTACAAATATATATATTAAACTTAAATATCACATAGTAACTACTATAACAAATATATTATTTAAGCACTTATTAAATATTAAAATGTTTAGTTATGTCTTATATTTTACATTATTTTATACAGGGTAGGTTAAAATTCATAGTACAACTGTCTAGATGGTGACTTTATGTAGAAAGATAAGAAAAAAATTTGATATAGAATTTTTTCATTCGATTTCAAGAAAATTAAATTTGAAGTTTTGTAAATGTTTCTTTTTCTACACATCTTTGATATGTCCCCATAAGTAAAAATCCAGAGGTATGAGGCTCACGAACTTTGAAGTCCAGTGTATTTTACCGCCGTAATCTATTTAGCATGAATAATTTTTATTCAAGAAATTTGAAGTTTGCAGTTTGATAAACTATGATTCTTGTTACACAACTGGTATTCTGGGATATAAATGGATATCTCCTACAATATCCTATTATTATCAATATTTATAAACACTAGCAGAGACAGAGACAACCGGTAACAGGATACACGATAAGTAAATCGCATTGCGTAGTTAAACTTCAAATTCAATTTTCTCGAAAACGAAGCATCAAATGAAAAAATTATATATCATGTTTTTTTCTTATCTTTTTTACATGGAATCACCCCTGACCGGTTATATTACAAATTATATGAAAATAGGCATGACTTTGGTTATTGGGGCAATGTGGAAGAGACAAATTTGTCTTAGTAGAAAACTTATGCTTCAAGGAATATGATAGTTATGACTCGGAATATCAAAAACTAATAGTTTTCGTGATATAATAGAACTCGCTTATTATTAAATTTTGAAAGTGGCATTTTTTGATAACAGTAATCGACTAATAACATTACGCGTAAGGTTGAAATTTTCGTTATTGAATGCAATTTATTATTACATGTGTAATATTTGTACATAGTTTAATTAATATGTACTCATTATTGAAATTTATCACAAACTATGTACATTTAAAGCAACCTGTACACAACATGTACCTGTTTTTATTACACTTATTATAAATGATTAAAAAGAAGACTAGCTTACAGATTGCCAATCAAAAATAGAAGCCATTTGTTGAAACAGTAGATTATTGCATAACATTGCATGATACAGCTTGCTTTCCTTTCTACTCTTGTACTGTCTTGCTAATTATCCTTCTAGCAACATTGATATTATGTTTATTCTCAGTTATTATAACAATATGCAAAAGATATACTTCGATAGAAAGTATGTAAGTTCGAAGAACAGGCCCATTTAGCATATTTGATAAAAATTTAATAAGAATTCGTATCGTTCGTTCTCAAATATGATCATACAAATATCACAATTGATATAAATAACTGGTCTTAATTATAATATGCGGATTATTCCTAAGACAGTGTGTCCTCGAGCCGATTGATTAATACTATCTGTGATCATAATAAACTGATTTCATTGTATTAACAAAAATATATTAGCAGTACTACTTATGTTCCACCTATAAGTACATGTAATTGTTTATACCCATGCAAGCAACATGTTGCAGTGCCACTTTGCTCGCTTCTTCATGATCTATTAATACTAATGGTTCACCTACTGATTTCTGAATTAGTTTCTAATGCTAATACAACAAAAATAATACCAATCATCATGCTACTTTAGGATAGATTTGGTTAAATTAATAATTTTTATTACACAAGGTGAAATTCAAAATCGTCGCCAAAATACATGTAATGTTTCTTAGAAATGAAAACTGATCCAAAGATCAATAAGTAGGCATGTGTGTATAATCACATACATGTATGTATAGATAGAATATAAGGTAGTGTTGCTAATATATTTTTTTTAATATCTTATTTAATATATTATTAATGTAAGACAAATTTCCTTTCTTCCCTATTGTTTCAATAACTAAATCAGAGCCAAATATTAACTCAAATAAGTGTTTGTAATATTTTCTAATAATATTATTTTATAATATTATAAGTATTCTATATAATTTGTATACCTCACCAATAAGAGCATTTTGCCATACACGGAACAACATTACATATGTTTTATCTCTTGCACCAAAAGATGTTAAAAAGAACTTATCAGTGGCAGTACATATTAGAATTGCATTAGGAATCACAAGTGCAGTTTTTTCTTTGGTAATAGATGTAACATCCTTCCAACGTAAACATACTAATGTTTCCCAACTGAAGATATTTGCATAGAAACATATATAATTTTGAGACACATAGAGTCTTCCATGAACTAATATTTCACGCTGTAGTGCACATGAATAATCTAGAAATTATATTATCTAGTGACTAATTGTTATTATTAGTCACTAAAATTATTAGTTAATATGACAGAATTAGTGAAGTTGACGAAGAAATTTCTCTTTGTACATTTTGTTTATTTTTGAATATATTGAATAATGTTATAAAGAACGATATTTTGAAAAACTTTGAAAAAATTGGCAGTTAGTATTAGTTTTCAAGATATTAGCAAAAAACTTCTGATACTAAATATTAAATTTTATCTATATATAAATATTCGTAATAGCTGTTTCTATAAACACAAATTTTAAATTTCAAATTTAATGCAAAATTAAAAAATGCTTTAGTCGAATTCAGGAAGAAACATTAATCATTTTATTTAGGAAGCTAAGGGTAATCTTTGTATTTCAATAAAGAAGCAAAATAATATAAAATTAATTACCATTTTTCTTCCTAAAAACTATGCAACTTTTATTTAAAACCATTTTTTGGTACAACAAATAATTTTTAAAGTATGTGAAGTCACCACGTTACAAGACTCACCCTGTACATAAATGTATATCTAACATATATATGAATGTATATATGTTATCATATATAACCTAACATATATATGAATATAAAAAGTTTTTCATAATATTAATTTCTATAACATATTTAAACATAAGAAAAATGTATGAACAGGAACCTCTTCGACAACTATATTCTAAAATTACTATATTAAAATTAATTTCATCTAGTAAGATTAATTACGTACCAACAACTAATCTTTCATCATTTGGTACATCTTTAAATATTCGCTTGAAATCATCAGATCTAGATTTATAAGTTGGATATAAAACATGATACCAAGACTTTTTTTTATTTCGTTCACTACTTCGTGTTTCCTTTTTTCCTTCATGTGAACTTTTTACAGTTTGAGAAGAGTCTGATGATTTGTTTGCTATATCTTGTTGCTATATATTTTTAAAATTGAATATAAATTGTCATAAGAGAAGAAATTTTGTAATAAAATATATTTTAATAATAAAATCTTACTTGTAACTGATGTTCATCCAATTTATTCACATTATTAGATTCTTTGGTATTTGAATCATGATTTGTTTTGGAGTGATCTCTTTTATTACGTACTTTGGGGCTAGGACGTGGAGATAAATTTGGGCTTGAAACTGGACTACATTTCTCACCACTTCCTCCAGTAAATGTTTCTTGAATATTATCTGATATACCATTTCCTGTATTCATTGTTGGATTTTGATTTTCTAAACCCGTGGAATTTACATTAGTCATGACTTCACGACTAGATATTAACAAATCTTCCACTGACTTATTCCTGTTAAAACAATATTAAAAATCATGCAAGATAAAAGTATATTAAAACAGCTGTTTTAAATAAGGTAATATAGCTATTTTAAATTAATATAAATAAATAATAAACAAATAAAAAATAATGTAGAATAAAAGCGTTATAGTAAAATTTGTTGTAAAATTACATACATGTTTGTAGTCGGATATTTTTGAACAGATTCCACTTCGAAGTACATAATAATCATACAATATACTCGTCAATTTTGTTTGATGAATCTATGAACTTGTGATAATTTTATAATAGGATACAACAATTTACACGAAACAATAGCATTACAGTATTCAATAGTAATTATCACTAATATAATTCACTACTTTGTTGTTAATATATTTTGAAAATACAACATACGTGTAATTTTTACGTACGATATAATCGTTGCGATAATGACAATTCATTTTAAGTAAAACCATGGATTGTTTTGAAACACACATCAATCATTGTCATTTGTACGCACTTATATTGCTAGTATGCTTCTATTTAATCATTAAGTTCACACTTTACCATTGAAATTTATATCAATGCATATCACTGTTTAAAATGGAACAAAAAATAGTGAGCACTTCAAAAACCTTCCACCATGTTGAAATTGTATATCTCTTTTTCCGGTCTGATATAAATTAAAATTTTCACAAGATTGATAAGAATATATTGTTATAAATATATAATAATTTAATTAATATATAGTAATGTAACATAAAATATGCAAAGTATTTTAAAAATAGATAAATAAATTTTTTAAATGTAATTGTACTATTGTACCTTTCTTCTTTTTTTCTTTATTAGTTAATATATATATTAAATAATAGTAATAACTATGTGTAAAAGCAACATTTTTTGTTAAAACTTTACGTATGGTATATAATTACTAATCGTTTAAAAATGATCAATATTACTATTTAAATTTTAATACGATGTTTGCAATGCGATATTTATGTAGTAGTTCTCATGAATATTGTGAAACATTAATTGAGTATGTACTTTATTCTCATATTTCAAAAATTATATTTTATATACAGTGAATAACATGTATCAGTAAAAGAAGAACATGGAGTCATTATAATAAAATACTTAACGCTATTACTTATCTCCATTATCACATTGGGCTATTAGTATATGATGATTGAAAACTGTTTCAAAAGTTAGTATGTACATAGCATTAATCGCAAGCAGTTCGTTTTCATTAATCTTAAAAGCAATATAGTAGTTAAAGAATATTATACAATATTTAAATTATTATTAAATTTATAGATCAAATCTCTTTAATTAAGTTTGGACAATTTAAATATAATCTAAATTTTAATTATGGAATTTAAACCGCCTAATCTACCTAGTCACTGCACGTGGGAATTAAATGCATCAAATTCACCACACACATGTAGGATAGAGTAAGTTTTTTAATAATAGTCTTCATGTATGAAGAACATTTAAAAGTATTATGTATTCTATTTGAAATTACTATTATGAATATATTATGCTCAATTAATAGGAAAGTTATAATTAAGTAACATTTTACGAAGTAATAAAGATGTAATTACCATAATAATTATTTAAGATCACATTGTTAAATAATAATTATGCTATTCTAGTGGTTTAATTTTATTTTCCATTTATATAGGTTATATTTTTCACTGAACAAATGTCACGATTTTTAATGCGATAATGAATTTTTGTACTAAGTTAAAAATTGTTAATATACATGAATTTTGTTGTATATACTTTGATCCACAAAATCTGAAAAACAAAAGATACTCAGTATTACAAAAACATGTTTTTTATTTAAGCCTGTTAAATACTATGCAATAAATGTGATTTAAATGTTGCATCTTGAAGAAAATTATTTTATTTGATTATTACTGTATTTTAGTACACCATTATAGTACAAAATAATTCATTCATAATAATTATTAATTATTTAATTGTAATTTTTTTTTTCTAAAGAAAAAGATTCTTATTAGTTATAAGAAGTAACCTATAGAAATTTCTCAAATATAATCTGAAATATGTGAGTTTTATTTACTTAGATATATAGCAGAAAAATATTTATTTAAAAAATCAAACAATATCATTAAAAATTTTAATTTGAGATTTCAAAGTATTATGTAGGAATAAATAATTAAATATTTCTTAGTATACTTTTCATATTTCTATGTCTAAAGTGAAATAATAAACTTACAATACTTTAAAATTGTTTAAATAACTGATATCAAATATGATACTTCTATTCATAATATCCATATATTCTGTTTGTTTATTCTCTTTTATAAATATTTATATTTTCTGATTTAATATCTATTTTAGTCTGCTTGTTCAGTTATGAAAAAATGTTTAAGATTTACAATAAAAATATAATTTTCATTTTCATATTGTCATATATAGTAATGATAATATTTTATAAATTAAAGGTGCTATATATAATTTATATATATTAGAATTTAAAAATATTTTGGATGTTATAAGAAGATATTGCAAAATTTCAGTAAGGTTGAATTATAAGAATATTTCGTTATTTATGGATGATACTGATATTTTATTTACTCTATTGATTGTATATGAAAAAGCTGATATTTTGTGTGTTAAAAATCTGTAAAGTTAGTAAAGGATAAGTAAGAAGTACCTAAAATTAAAAAATTTTTTAGTTTTGGTCTTGAATATCTTAGACTTTTGATATATAATATCAACATATCATAATTTAATATCATAATGTCATAATATTGTGATATAAATATATTTTAAATCATATAAGAAAAATTACTTTGTAAAATGTTTTTTATTTATTTAAATTTAATATTAGTTTTTTCTTATACTTCATTGTTATGATTTTATTTCAGAAATTTTGACCGTACTAAAATAATGCCTGATATTTTAACTACTATTGGACAAACTCCACTTATAAAATTAAATAATATTCCAAAGTCTTATGGGATTAAGTGTGAAATCTGTTAGTATTAGCCATGCGAATTTAATATGTAGTTTGTAAATTAAATATGACAAATATATTTTCTTGTTTAGATGTAAAATGTGAATTCCTTAATCCTGGTGGTTCTGTAAAAGATAGAATTGCATATAGAATGGTTCAAGATGCAGAAGAGAAAGGTTTGCTAAAACCAGGATATACCATCATTGAACCTACAAGTGGCAATACTGGCATTGGTTTAGCAATGGCTGCTGCTGTTAGAGGCTATAGATGTATTATTGTTATGCCAGAAAAAATGTCTGATGAGAAAGTGTCAACACTTTATGCACTTGGTGCTGAAATTGTTCGTACTCCAACTGAAGCAAGTTGGGATAGTCCAGAAGCACATATTAGTGTTGCACAAAAATTACAAAGAGAAATACCAAATAGCATTGTCCTTGACCAGGTAATATTATTGCATATACATGTATATGTATATTATTAAATATTGTTAAAGCCTTATTACTTGTTTATTATTTGTATTACTCATTTAGTATAGAAACCCTGGAAATCCATTAGCTCATTATGATCAAACTGCAACTGAAATTTGGAGACAATGTGAGGGCAAAATTGATTATTTGGTAGCTGGTGCAGGTACAGGTGGTACCATTTCAGGTATTGGACGGAAACTGAAAGAATTATCTCCAAATACAAAAATTATTGCTGTTGATCCTGTAGGCAGTATTTTAGATCCATCAAATCAATCACAAGATGTAATTGGTTTCTATGAAGTTGAAGGAATTGGGTATAACATTTTCGTCTGTTTTGTTTAAAATAAAATTTAATTTTCTATTTTTAATGACTGATAAAATTGTTCCTAGCTATGATTTTATACCTACGGTGTTAGACCATAATGTAATTGATAAGTGGATAAAAACTGAAGATAATGAATCATTAAATGCTGCTAGAATGCTCATACGTCAAGAAGGATTATTGTGTGGTGGTAGTAGTGGTGCTGCACTTATTGCTGCTCTTAAAGTAGCTAAAAATGTTCCTGAAGGAAAACGTATGGTTATTATTTTACCTGATGGAATACGAAACTATTTAACTAAGTTTGTATCAGATCACTGGATGGAAGTTAGAGGATTTCTGGTAAATTATTATTTTATTTATATGAAAATTATTTATTTTTTTAATACAAATTTGAGTAATAAATTGTTACATACATTGCAGCCACCTAAATGTCAAAATGAATCAAACAAATGGTGGTGGAATATGAAAATTTCATGTTTATCACCTGATATAGGATTAGTAATGAAAGAGAAAACATTAACATGTCAAGAAGCTATTTACGAACTTCAAAATGCAAATCCACAATTACTAGCAATTAGTCATGATGGTATACATATAAAAGGTGTTGTTACTTTAGACAAACTTATGTCAAATATAATATCTGGTTCAGTAAAATATACAGATTTTGTAGAAAACGCTATGGTGAAACAATATGTTAAAGTTAAGTATTCAGCAACTCTTGGACATTTATCACGTGTGCTTGAGAAAGAACCATATGCGGTAATTTTAGACGATAAACGTTATAATGCTTTTGTAGCAATCGTAGGCCAATTTCATATTTTAAAATTTATTACTAGAAATAATGGTACAGCATCTAGTAATAATTGAACAAGTTAAGTCTTAAATATTAATATATAGTTGTCCATTCATTTTTATAATTATTGTAATTGATTACGTCATTATAATTGTTTTCCAAGTTTTTTATTTTTATTATACTTAATTTTTAACTACAAACAAGAATTAAATTTGTCTATAAATTTGTAAGGAAAAATGTAAGTAAAAATTCAGTGAAATTAAATACATAAGCATTTATAGTACAAATATTTCACTTAAAAGAAGTAAAAATGATTAAATACGTAATTCTACATATTTTTAAATTATATAAATATTTACAAAAATTTTATACTAAAATATACAATTTATAAAATTTAAATAAAATGTAAATATTATGTTCCATGTACTACTTGTTATAGTTTAATAAATTTTAAGATTATTTTATTTATAAAATAAAATTGAAAAATTTATTTCACTAGACTATATTTATTACAAATGAATAATGTTACAAGTAATAGGAGTGTATGTAAAATTTTATAGTAAGAAATTTCTTTTTGTTCTTTATTCACGAAAAATTTAAGTATTTAATAATGCATAATATTTACTAATTTTTATTATATATATATTGCATCATATTATTTAACATTAAATTCTTTGAACTTGTACATGAAATTTACAACTTGGTAATGTAGAAATCTCTGCATTAACAGTACTAATAATTCCAAGATTTGCTAAACTTCCTCTTAAAAGTCCACAAGTAAATGTCAATAAACGTGGGCTTTCTTGAAGATATTGTTTATTACTATTGGTACCTACTTTCTCCAACAACCGAAATGAGTTATCTTGTAATACATATACACCATGATGATTTGTTCTTAAATTATCAATTTGTTTATGATAAAGACTGGTCCAAAAATCAGTACAGATAAATTTTATCATATCCAGTTCATCTTTAAATCGATTCCATTCTCGGGTCAATCGTTCAATGATTCTATAGCCAACACTGAAGCCCATCCACTCTAGTCGAGACAGTTCTTCTTCCCCTTCCTTTATATTTTAAATATAATTACTGATATTAAAACTATAATACAGCAATATAATCTCATAATATAAATTAATATTAGAGGAAACAATGTTTATTAATTGAAGTTTTAAACTTAATTTTAATATACATATATAGTAATATACATAACAGTGTTGTCTATTATAATTATGGTATTAATTTTATTCAATCATAATTTCATAATAAAAATGGAAAGAATAGCAATATTATATATTAAAATGAAAATAGTTATAATCTGTTTCAACTAAATTTAAAAAATTACCACTTATAGTATATTAACACAATGTTTATAAATGAACAGTTATTTTCTAATTTAGTTTAAATTATAATAATCTTATCTCTACTTATATTTATATATAATATGAATACTAAACCAACATATCAAATTTATTTACAATTTTAATCGAAGTACATTGCTTAATTTATAAAATTATCAAAACTTAATTTAAAAGATTAAGTTCTTTCTATAAGAAGTAATTAATAAAAAGAAAAAGAAAATTCACCAATATGTGAAAGAAAATTCATAAACTACATAGATAAAAAAACTATTTAAAATCCTTGAAGTGAAAGGAATTATAAAGGCATTAAATATTTAGAAATGGATTTGATTCCCGGAGCTTGACCTCATTATTAAGAATATATTAAAAAAGTTACCAAACAAAAAAAAAAAATAAAGGTACCTGACAATATTATATAATGTTATATTATGATTAGATTATTTCCCAGACAATGAAAAATAACACAAACAATCTCAATTCCTGAATATGGGAAAATCCTAAAGAAATTGTCTAATTTAAGCTAGGAAGTCTTTCTTTGATAATATTTAAAGTGTTTGAAAAATTAATCATCCGTAAAATTAATTTAATAATAATAGAAGATCAAATAATATCATGACACTAATTTTGCTTCAAAGAAGAATATACTATAATTCAGAAAGTACACTACATTATAAAGTAAATTAATTTAGGTATCAAAAAAAAAATATTGTCCCTTAACTGTTATTAATCTATCACAGGCATTTTTAAAGTCTGATATTACATATTAGTATATGAAGTTTAAAGATTATTATTATACTTGTTATTAAATTAAAAAATTTTAGGAAATAGAAGTAAATTCTAACACCACTATCCTAAACATAGAAACAAAAGTATGCACTGACAAATAAATATTTATAATTAATGGTGTATATGGTATAATTGAAGATAAGAAGATTTGCATATTGAAATAGTAACAAATAGCAAACAAATAAAAATAACAAGAATGCTACCTAAAAAAAGGTAAATTTTAAAGTTTAATATTCAAATTAATAATTTCCATATATTTATATTTTAGTAATTTTTGTCAGAATGAATAATATCATAAAAAGCTATATTATATAAAATATATTATAAAAAATAATAAGAAAAAAATGGTAAGATATTTTTAATTTTTTCTTTTTGATTGACAACATATTTTCAATACAAATTTTCAAGAATCTACAAATATATTAATATGAAATGATAAAATTTTATTAATGTATGATTAATATATTGCTCTGGATATTTTTCAAGTAACGATATATAGTTGTAAACAAGTTAAAAGAATTAAATAAAATAAAATTCATATATAAAATAAAGATGTTTATAAAAGTAATATTACTAACAAATTAAATATTTTTATATTAATTTATCTTACTTAAGTATTAAATAATAAATATTAGAAATATCTTAGTTGGATTAAATTATGATATTACATTAAATAATATGCATATTGTTTATTAATTTTGTTATGGAAAGATAAAACACTTTTTATTTAAATATATATATTTTTAAAATTAAAATAAAACATAAAATATAAAGTATGTTATTAAAAGTTAATTACAGGAAAGTTATTTTAAAAAAGATTCAAATTATTTTATTACTTTATATAAAAGGCGTTGATAAAATATTTCGAATAAAAAATACAATAAAAAAAATGTTTCTAAACAAATGTTTAAATAATATTAACAATTACGAAAATATTAAATTATATAAAAATTATTGCAATTATGTATAATTACCTTAGTTTTATATGATTTATCAAGAACATAATTAACCATTTCAGCATGTAAATATTCGAAAAGGCATTCATCAGCTTCTCCGGATATATGAGAATTAATTTTTGTATCAATTTGTTGTCTCATTTTAATTTTTTAAAAATATTTTAGAATAATATTATATATTTTAGTGTATGTACTTAATGTATAATTTATGAATAGTAACTCATATATTACTCTATGTTCAATAAGAATGAAAACACTCTGCTGCTAATCTGTTTACAATTTAGGCTATATAACATGGACATCTAACCTTACTTCTCACAGTTTCATTATGACAATAGTCTTCATAGATTATTATTAAACATACAGTAACTTTAATAAACGGTTAAATAACTTTGCGTCTTTTATGTATAATCATACAAAAAAACGTGTAAAAATGAACCGTTATATTTTTACAAAAAGAAAATAAAAAAAGCAAACAGTTTTTATAGATAATATAATTGAATAACTAATTTTTTTTATGACCAAGATTAGTACAAACTTTTCTCAAATATAATAAATTTTTTGTTATTATCTTTATCAAAATTATTCATTTACAAAACAGATTTTTAAAAATGATTTATGTTATATCACAGTTGACTTTGTTACATAGTTATGATATTTTATCATATTTTTTGAAATGCGTAAATTTACGATAATTTAATTTTCAAGACATTTATATAATATTTAAATAAACAAATATATTTAACTTAATGTATTATACAATAATATTTTAGTGTTAATAATATTTTATAAATAGTTAATGAATTCATTAATTTGAATTAAATAATAAATTATTATTAAGTAAACAGGGAATAATTTAAACTTAACGTAAAATTTTATTTCACATATACTGAAATACCAATTTAGGAAAGAAAAAAGTTAGCAGCTTCTTGCGCCATCTGTGATTTGGAGTAGTGATTTTAGGAATTATGTGTAGTTTACTTATAAAGTCGATAAAGTCGATAAAGTTGGATATTTATGCGTATTATCAGGAAGCATTCACTATAAGAAATATTTTAAGTTCAAAATTTTCTTGTAAAGATACTTTCTTTTAAAGAATGAAAGATAAAGTTATTAAGTTAGGATATTAAATATTTTACATATTAGTATATAATTATAGTATATAATTGCATAAACACATGTATAGAGTAATCTAACAGCATACAGAAAATAAAAATTAATTATTAATAACAATGAAGTTTTTTATTTTATTAGTTCCAAATGTGATTAGAAACTAAAATTTCACAGTACAAGAAAAATGCAAAATAAGACATTTGTTCAAAATGCTTTTGTAAAATTGTGAAATTACATATATTACATATTTTTCTGATGCTAATTAAAAATATTATGAGAATTTATTGTATAATTCCTATGATTTATTGTAATCGTTATCAGAGAGTATGGTAATTCGAAAACAAGTAATCATTATTTTTTTTTCTTTTAATAAAATGGTTGTGTTAGTTTCAAGATAATATATATTATTTTATGTGCCTATGTTAACATAAAATATTTTTACGCGCATTTTATATCTATTTAAAGACAATAAGATAGAATAACACTCGTTTGTACGATCTACAATTTTTATGAGCTGCTCCAATTATATGAATGTACACATAGATATGATCAGTGAATATTTATAGGTATTTTTAATACTGTTCTGTATGTATTTATTAATATTTTTTAATTTGTTGAATCAAACATTTATCAATTCAATTAAATTCGATTAAATGATCATAAAATTATTGTGATAAAAATATTATTTAGAAAAAAATAGTGCTTTTGTGTTCACTTAACAAAAGACGAAAGTAACAAAACATATAAATTGAAATATTGTTACAGTTTATATATATACATATTAATAATTGTAATAATTCGTTAAATTATCTAAATAAATTGTATTGTAAATATTATCTGACAATTTTAGGTATAATTATTATTTATAAAGTTGTCATTTATAATTATTTACAAAGTTATCATTTACTATATCCATTATTTTTTAAATAGTAAAAAATTAGTTCAGGCATAACTCTCAGTAAACATCCATAAATATTTTTCACTTCTTTTAGCGTTTATATGAAAGACAATTGTCCTCGCACTTTCCTTTTGTGCCAAGAGAGGGCATATGAATAGTCTTACATAAAATTATAATATGTTAGTTATATCGTCCGTAATTTTTCCGTCAATCGTACAATACTCTGAACAGTTTAATTATTACTTCTTCTGTTTATTTCCGTAAGAAAGTAATTATCATCTGTAGAGTTTTCGTGGAAGGTCATATTTGCAACATTCTTGAAAAATAGAAGTTCATGGAATTGAATATTTTTCAAAATTACTACTCGTGAAAAAATAAACGACTTCGCCGGAAAGAACGTTTAGGTAGATTACGAAGGAAATTATTTTTTTGACAGAAGAAGGAGGGCACCTGACGCTCGATAAATACCGATGAGTGTACCGACCGGTTATTTGGCAAAGGGACACACGAGTTTTGAACTCTGATTCACACTGTGTGGAAGTCAGAGCGTTTAACTTCCTCCTCTAAATTCGGGAAGTACGTTCCAAAAATTAAGCGAGATACAAGAAATTTGGCCGTCCGCCAAAAATGCTTCTACACTGGGAAAATAATGGCGTGCACTAAACTCCACGCGAATATTGTTTTTGCTATAGTTACTGGGACGCGCGCGATTTAACATATTACAATTCTAAAAATTATTTAAAGAGCACAACTCGTCTAATCAAATACTTCGATTGGAAAATTTATTCTAATGTATGATAAAAACTTTTGGTATTTCGTTTAAGGGATAGTGTAATAAATTGTACAGTAAGCACTACAAATATTTAGCTACTATAATACACATGAATTTATTAATTCTTTCTTTTTTTACAAGTTAATAGTACACTTAGTAGTACACTTTTTAATTACAAGAAGTATATTACAAGAAGTATTATTTGCGAAATTTTCAATTTTAATGACTTTTTAATTTTTGTAATGTTAAGATATATAATTTTATGAAATTTAATTGTTCACTTATACTGATATTTATTGATATCTTCTATGAAATTATGTGGTTGAACATAATACATAAGTGATTCGAGGTGTCTAAGTAATTGTTATTCGTATTAGATATTATAATATCATAAGAAGAAACAAATTAATGAATAATATGGAAATGGACAGTTCGAGAACAGAAAAATTGATTATAATAAAGTAAAATATAAAATTGTTTAACATGTATTTATAATAATGAGAATGTTATAAAACTTTAGTTTTGATTTGTTTTTTCGATTATGTTAATATGAAATAATTAGGTTGTATATTTGTTGAGTATTTTGTACAAATAATAAGCTTATCACAAAAATAATTTTTTTTAAAAACAAAAATATTTTTTTGATTATATTTCATGCTGTTTTTTTACCACTTAAATATCTTTTTATTGTTGTAAATTTAATTTATATATTTTTGGTTACAAATGTAATTCATCTATTTAAATAAATAAAGAAATTTAATTTAGTTAAAATTCTTTAACTTAATGATAAGTTGCAATAAGAATTTTAAGTTTGTAAAAATATATATAAATTTATATAAATTATCATATCAAATATCGTATTAAGCAATCTTACCTTGTTATATATTTTTTATTCGTACAGTAACTCGAAAAATTAATATGTACAAAAATGTAGTATCATTTTAAGGAAAAAAGAAGATATACTTACACTTTACAGTATATTGACGTATTTACAGAAAAATTCATACCACAGAATGAGGTAAGGTTTGTTAAACCAAGCAAAATTTTCTTGTATAATTTTTTAATAATGTTACTTGGAATAGAGATATATGTAGCTTGGTTAGTACAGTTGTTAGAATCAGTTAGGAACTAGAATTAGGAACTTTGAAATTTTTTAGTTTCAAGAATAAATACATATTATTTGAATTATTAAAAATAGAAGTTTGATTTTTCTTTAATTTGTTATTTTCACTTCTTAAATTTCAATAGAAATATTAAAATATAGAGAAATTTATAGTACCGAGTAAAATATATATATATATATATATATATCATAGTAGTACAATTAATTGTTCTTGAATGCAAAAAAAGCACAGTAAATACGGTAATAAAATTTCATAATTGTACAACGAGGAAAAGTTAATGCATCGTATAATTATAAAATTCATTTACAGTACGTCGTTTAATCTTTCTCTTAAAATGAAATTTTAAATTCTTGTAGAATTTCCTATAAAATTAATTTATTTATATAATTATCCAATATTTCCTGCACAGTTCAAAAGAAAATAGTATGATAATGATGTCGAAGAAGAAAGCAAAAGTACTTTGGATATTGTGTTTTCTAGAATCGCATTATTGCGACATATGTATATTCCAATAATATTTACAGGAAGTAAAACATCGTGTGAGAGCGCTGAGTAAAAAAATAAAAGCATCAAATGCAATAATCTTGTTATAGTATTAATGCTATCAAACTACAATATGTGCGCAATTAAAGAATTATTCCATAAGACGATTATTTTTATTACGTTATACGATAATAATTTTGAATTATAATAAATCGTAGCAATAGTTAACGTCTGCGGTGACATCTGTTGGGAGCGTTTGCGCGTATAGTAACGCGCATGCGTACATCTCTTTGAAACTCACACCTTATATAAATAGAAGCGGTGAAAGTTCACGCGACAGTTTGCTGCGAGAAACAGTGTAGTACGGTTATTGGAGTGTAATCGTATTTTCTTCTCGCACGGAGAAAAGTTACATTGAAAAGTCGTTGACTTTACGCATTCTAATCTATTCGAGTCAACATATTATAATTTTCTCATACTTCTTTGACAACTTTTTAAAATAACCTTTCAAGAAACAAGAAAAACAAAAAAGGGCGACATGCCAGCTGACGTAGCGATGCATACTAACTTCCTACAATTCAACCAGTCGAGCTTGAAGGACTCGAATGTAGACTCTTGCTGGAACACTGAAAACATGAGCGGTTACATGACCTTGGTGGGTCCGAACGGTCATCGCCAAGGCGTGCAAGTGAAGGTCTACCGGACGAGTGTCGAACATTTCGCTGTAATTTATCCTCAAAAAAAGGTGTGT